CATGTCGCCAACTGGACCAAAGACGCTGCACTCGAGACGCTCGAGCTGCGTGCGGCCGACGGCGGTCGCGAGGCTCGTCAGCGTTGCGGCGTCGACAACACCATTGAAGTAAACATTCAAGATCTTCAACGACACTGGAAGCGTGCGGCCGTGGAAGCCATTGAGGCTGGGTATGTCGATGATGTTAAGCTCTTGGAGGGTTGTGTTGGCTTGCAGCGCATCGCAAAATGCCATCATGGCATCGTCGTCCATTTGGGCGACACGGACCAATGTGAGCTTCGTCGCTGGCGCCGTCGAGAGCCAAGAAGCCAGAAGATGGCCGAGTCGCGGTACAGTGATCGCGAGAAGGAGGTCGATAGACAAGTCGTGGACATGCGGGTGGGCGACGACAGCTAGCAGGCCGTTGAGCTCGGCGGCATCGCTCTCCGAATAAGAAATGACCGAGATAGACACTTGGCGCAGACGTGGGCAGCGCTGCAAGAGGAGGTTGCTGATCGCTTGTCCTCGGCCTTGGTCCATGCGCCCACTGTAGAAACCGAGAATGATGCTGCTGAGTGCAGGTCCGAGGACGGCAACGACCGGGGCCAGTGGCAATACGTCCCGGACGCCATATTCGAGTTCGATGCGTGGACGCAGCGGCAGCGTCGCCGCAAGCAGCGGCAAGATTGAAGACCGAAATCTTATGCGGGTCAGCTTGATGTGCGGCCAGTTGGTGCTGACTGATGATGGCATCACCGTGGTGCAGTCGAGAAAGGCCGTGAGCGCCGGCGTCCAGAGCGATCGTGGTATCGCGTAGAGAAAACTCTCAAGGTCCTCTTGGTTGTCCAAGCTCGTGGCAATGGCCTCCATCACGTGCGGAAGGGCGAGCGCGTCGGGCGGCGTCACACGGGCGGCTTTCTGCTTGCGCCCGTTGTCGGTCATCTTGGTATGTGCTTGAAATCCGGCTTCTAAATTTCGTATCCGGATGCGCGATCCGATTGGCAGAAAGTCGATCTCCAATGGCCAATCCAACGTGCGCAAACGTCGCAGGGTCGATTAAAGCTACATGTAGGCGCCACGGCCAAGCCTTGGTACAAGCCACGAAGACTGGGAACGGTGGAGAGACTGAACTCGCAGAGCGTCGATCTGGCTTGAAGCGCATCGCAGAAGCTAATATTAGTGTTATCACCGATGCGCGCAATGTGAAGGAGGTGGAGTGACGCCGCCGCGAGCCACGAGCCGCGGCGTCACGCGAGCGCAATTGAGGTCGATGGACGGTGTCTCAACATGCAGGTGGGCGAGAACGGGCAGGAAATCACTGAGCTCGAGAAACGCTTCGTCTGTCGCGCGGTTCGCCGGACCCATGACGTGGCACAACCGTACGCAGTTAAAGGTGAATACAAATGGATTATTCACCCTTGACGCAGTGCTGCAAAAGAGCTGGTGCGTGGCGGCATGCTGGCGGCGTCCACACGCAGAGAGACGTAGTTGAGCGCGGCAAAGGCCGGCGCGAGGAGCTCCGTCATCAGTCGCTGAATCTGAAAA